CATACTTAAATTTTTATTGCAAAAAAAATGGTGGGTTAGTGGGCTACTCGGCCCATCACAGGTTTAGCCCGGGTGGACCGGGTCGAAGTGGACCGGGTTGAGATATACTCATCTACTATAAAACATTAATTTTTTTTGGCCTGACCCGGCCCGTTTTCAAGGTGGGCCAGGTTAGTCCACGAGTCCCGGCCCACTTTGACGGCTCTACTATATATATATGTTACAAATGTAATATTTTATTTCAAATTCTTTCAATCATCTCAGTTTTTTTTAATCTGTTTTTCTATATTGTTTATATTATTTTCTTTCATTTACTGTATAAAACCATTTTTTGTTTTTTATTTTGAACTAAAAAATTCCAAATATTGAGTGAAGATAAATTAAAAAAAAATATTTTATTAATCTTGAAAATTTCTTGGTAAATATTTTGATGGACACGATTTATATTCAAAAATTAAAAATATTGAGAAAAATATTAAAATAATAAATTAAATTTTCAATAAAAGTATTATACTAAATATTTTAATATTGATGGTCTCGATTTATGTTAAAAATTAAAAATATTGAGAAAAATATTAAAATATCAAATTAACTTTCAATAAAAGTATTATACTATATTAAAAAAAAGGAATTTCTTTTCTAAATACATATATTACAAATAAAATACAAAATATCAATATTTTGATATTGATGATCCCGATTTATGTTCAAAATTTAAAAGTATTGAGAAAAATATTAAAATAGCAAATTAACTTTTCAATAAAAGTATTATACTATATTAAAAAAAAGTAGTGCCTCTTTTAAATACATATATTACAAATAAAATACAAAATATTATTTAATAGTTGGCATCTTTAAGATAAATTTTTCGAAATTAAAATTACTTAAATCTTATCTAACATCAATAATACTGTAAGAGAGGTTGAATGTATGATTCATCTTATCTTTCAAGTAAAATGTAAGATTTACTTGATTATAAAATATTAATAAATAATTTAACAACTCAAAAAAAGTTAGAAAAGGTAACAAAATTTCTTAAGCTTCAAATTATAGATCTAGACACAAACAAAGCTGATTTCGCGATTCAACTCTTCTTCCTCCAATATGATGTTGACATGACACCTATAGTGCTCATGAAAAAAAATTTAGTGTACCAAATAAACCTCAAATTCTCATGTTGAGAACTCATTAGTTATTAACCTTATATCAGACTCTATAGTACTCATTTAGATTGAATATAACATTTAGTAGGTTAAGAAATTCTTAATCTTGCCGAACATTTTTCTCAGTAATCAAACTTTAAAATAATATATGAGTGTTACATAATAATAAAATATTTTCAATAATTAGATTTTTAACGATATGATTTTCTCATTAATATATATCTACAGATACTTTTACTTTGAAAAAATATACTCGAATACTTTGAATGTTCGCTAACTTAGATATTAAAATCCTTTTTTAAATATAACTACTAGTGCTTGCGATTCCAAAGATCAAGAACGGAAAAATTTGGATTGAAGATCTTTTACCAACAATTCTCAGCAAATACATACATCACCTATAATGAATCTTGAAACAACAGAAATAAATAACAAACAATTAATAAGGGCTATGCATGTTTTGGATAAATAGTGACGAGTTAATCACATATACATTGTTAGTATAAAGTTTTTTTATATCGGTAATTAATTATATTTTTTAATTGTGTCATGTCATTATAAACATATTTATTTTTAACAATAATATGACATAATTAAAAAATATAATTGATTACCAATATAAAAAAAAATTATACCAACAATGTATATGTAATTAACTCAAAAAATTATATAGCACCATGCCCATCAATACATTTAGAGGCAAGCAACGTAACATAATCCATCTATAAAGAGAAACAAATAGTCAGTACCATTAGAGCATCTTCAATAGGGGTTGCTTATAAGCAACCCCTTGTACCACATCACTGCCACATCAACTCTGGTTCACTTTATGAGTTGCTTAAATTTGCAACTCTGCTAAAATTTAAGCAATCCATAAAGTGGGCTAGAGCTGATTTAGCAGTGATGTGACAACCCTCATTGCAGATGCTCTTACTAAGAATTGGGTGCAAGAAAAGAGAAAAATAACTTCAATTCAATTCAATAACAAGCCAAATGAAAATTTCAATTAAGCAAGCAATAAACACAAATAAAGTGAGCAACGATGTTTAAGAGTTCCTCTTCCGGCTCAACTAAATGGGTGATTGCGCAACCTCCACGCTGGCTTCACGGGCATTACAAGACGGTACCAAAAAAAGTGAAGATTGGTAATAAAGAAGAATTTTTATTTCAGTTGTGAATTTGGGAGAAGAGATGGGATCCTTTTTTTCCTTTTTTCTTTTTTTATATGACCAACAACTTAAAAAAGTTACATGACATGCTAGTTAGGAAGTGTTTATGGCTTGAAGTTTTGAAAAATTTAAATCACATCAAACCAATTCATTTTATTAAAAGTAGATCAATTAATTGATTTATTTTTAATAAAATGAACCAATTCATTTTTTTTAAATATAGATTAATTATTTTAAAATCGAATCAATTTATTATAGTGGGTTATTCATTTTATATTTATGTATAGATCCTTCTTTTTTCTTTTTCTTTTTTTTAAAAAAAGCAATCTACTTTATTTTTCTATTTTTGGTAAAGGTGATTCACTTTATAAAAATAGATCAAATAATCAAATTAATTTTATAAGTGGATCAATTTAAAGTTATTATTTAAATTAGATTAAATTTTTTAATATGAATGGATTCAATTACAAATTATTTTGGATCTATTTAAATCTTTTGTACAATTCATCTTAACTATTGAATCAAGTAAGAATGGAATCAAATCAAATATTTACAGGTGTAATGTCTCGGTCTACGCCCGATACGTATTTTCGGCCCAGGGCCGAAGAGGTCTAAACAGGGCAGTCGCTTTAGCCTTTTTGCCCCGTAGGCTCAAGGCTGGAAGGCAAGTGTAATGTCTCGGTCTACGCCCGACACCCTCCGTCTCGGCTTGTGATACGTCGACTACACCCCGACCGAACAACTCCCTTTCTATATGCACTCGGCCGATGCCCGACTGTGTACCCACTTATAGCATAGGTCGGCGTATTCCCGATATCCCTCATACACCATAGATTACTCGGCTAACGACTGACTATACCCTATGGATAGACCTTAACGGTCAGCATCCGACTCGCTACCCCCTCGACTGTCAAATATCTTTGGTATAATAACGGTTACAAAATCCCCAAATTCTCGGGGCCCAGATGGCCCATGAACTACAAACTATAATACTCAAAACCCTAGAGCTAAAGGGGCAGATTACACTTTTGAATGCTCTGGCTCTAAGGCACGATCTAGAAAAAACCCTAGTCCACCCTTTGGCCGGAACATTTTGGCGCCCACCGTGGGGCTTCGGTGAAACTTTTCCTACACCCCAAGAAGTACAAGAACCTACACTTTACCATGGCGAGAGGCAATAATAACAACAATAACTCACGGCCCCCTACTATGGAGGAGATGATGGCCATGATCAATGGCTTAAGGGAGGAGAATGCACGATCCAGGGAGAGAGAGGAGGCCATCCAACGTGAAAACGAGGAGATTAGGAGGCGCGCAGACGAGATGCAGGCCAGAATAGCAGCTAGTACCCGGACGATGGAGGAGGATGTCATGCTGGAAGTCCCTAGGGATTTTCGACCTTTCTCGGAAGCCATAGAGGCCGAGATCATCCCCAAAGACCATCGGATACCCCAGGTCGAGCCTTTCGATGGAACACAGGATCCCAGTCAGCATTTGACGGATTTCTGAGCTCAAATGCTGATCTGCAGAGGGAGCATGGAGGTCCGTTGCAAGCTATTCATGAGCACACTCAAGAAGGCAGCGCTGGATTGGTTCAGTAGTCTCCCTGACTGATCAATCACCGATTTTGACGTCTTCGGTCGGCTCTTCATGGCGCAATTCGCCGCCAACAAGAAGAAACCACCGATCACGGCAGACTTGTTCGACCTCAAGCAACAACGCGGAGAGTCATTAAAGGATTTTCTACAAAGGTTCAACGAGGTCGCCTTGAGAATAGGGTCGTTGGACGAGAGGATGGCAGTCATAGCATTCCAGAAGGGCTTGAGGTCCGGAGCTTTCGACATTGCGCTTGAAAAAGCTAACTGTCAAACGATGTCGGAGGTCAGAGCCTTCGCTTTGAGTCACATCAAGACGGAGGAAAATTAGATTGTTAAAAGAGCAGCAGAAAACCGAGAGGCGGGCGGCAGTAATAAGGAAGGCAACAAACACCTCCGGGTACGTTCAAACTGGAGCAAGCGACGTGATCACTACGATCCCAAGGAGGGAAATTGTAGGCAGGCAGATCATGGCGGTCGGGCGAGGGGCGATAGGGTACAAAGCAACGAGCCAGAAAAATTCACCCCACTCAACGTTCCCAGGAGACATATACTCCATGACGTCAACAGTGCTTTGCTCTTCGAGTTTCCGGCGGCGACTGATCGCCAGTTGGGCCCGTACAAGACTAACTGGTGTGAGTTCCATCGTACCCATGGGCATACTACAGAGAATTGCTTTGTTCTTGGCAAGTAGATTGAGCGTCTCATCAAGGAAGGACGCCTGAAAAAGTTCATCGCAGGTAAGCATGATGAAGGTTCGTCGGACAGACGGCATAGACAAGAAGGGGAAGATGCAAGGGGGGGAAGACGCAAAGGGAGATATCCTCCGAGAGACATCCCGGAAAAGAGTTCAGAGACCCACCAACAGGCTGTTCACGGAGACTTTAACACTGTAGCGGGGGGATTTGCCGGAGGAGGTCCGACATCGTCAGCACGGAAGAGATACTCTCGCTCCGTATTGTCGGTCTCGGATTTGACAAAAGCCTTCCCAGTCTGCCATCACGTTCTCGGACGCTGACTTCGAGGGGGTCTCTCCCCGTGAAGACGACCCCATAGTCGTCTTGGCAATCGTCATGGGCTACAATGTGAAGCGAGTGTTGGTGGATCAAGGCAGTTCGGTGGACATCATGTTCTAGGAAGCTTTTGTCGGTATGAAAATTCTGACTGACCGTCTTATGCCTTATGCAGGTACGTTAGTTGGTTTTGCAGGTGATCAGGTAACGGCCAGGGGATACGCCGACTTGGATACTACTTTCGGTTGGGGAGACCACATGAAGACTATCACTGTCCGATACCTGGTGGTGAATGCCCAATCATCTTACAGCATACTGGACGACCGTCCTACACTAAACCGGTTGGGAGCGGTCGTCTCCACCCCTCACTTGAAGCTGAAGTATCCCTTGCCCAATGGACGGGTCGGGGTCCTCTACGTCGATCAAGAAGTCGCGAGGAAATGCTATGAGGATAGTTTGAAAGCTAGGAGGCACTTATATGTAACGCATGTTGATTGGGGTGTCCAGTCAATCGAATTGGATCCGAGGATAATTCATTTTGACTCCCGACCAGCCCCAGCGGAGGACGTGAAGGAGGTTACCTTGTCCGAAGGGAAAACGGTCAAACTTGGTGTATCTTTGACCAAAGAAAACGAGGAGGGGCTGCTCGCTGTGCTGAAAAACAACGTGTCGGCCTTTGCATGGAGTGCCGGCGACATGCCCGGTATTGACCCCGACTTCCTATGCCACCATCTCATGGTGGATCCCAAGGCGAAGCCAGTGACCCAAAAAAGGCGAAAGTTTGGCGAGGATAAAAGGAAAGCTATAGCGGAAGAGACTAGGAAGCTGCTGTCGGCGGGACACGTTCGGGAAATCCAATACCCGACGTGGCTAGCGAATGTGGTGATGGTGCGAAAGAGCAATGGAAGCTGGAGGATGTGCACCGACTTCACGGACTTGAACAAAGCCTGCCCAAAAGATTCGTACCCGCTACCTAACATCGATTGCCTAGTCGACAACGCATCAGGCTATGAGCTGTTGAGCTTCATGGACGCGTACTCGGGGTACAATCAGATCAGGATGCATCACGCCGATGAAGACAAAACTGCGTTTATAGCTGATCAGGCCACCTACTGTTATAAGGTCATGCCTTTCGGTCTAAAAAATGCAGGGGCGACATACCAGAGGCTCATGGACAAGGTGTTGGCAGATCAGTTAGGAAGGAATGTCGAAGCGTACGTAGACGACATGGTCGTCAAATCACCAAGTGTGTGGTACCAACTTAAGTTGAACCCTGCGAAGTGCTCATTTGGCATCCAAGCTGGAAAATTCCTCGGCTTCTTATTGACTCATAGAGGCATTGAGGCGAACCCGGACAAGTGCTCCGCAATAATCAATATGAGAAGTCCCGTGACGGTGAAGGAAGTCCAACAGTTGACAGGGAGAATGGCCTCCTTCTCTCATTTTCTTTCGAAGGCAGCGGACAAGTCCTTACCCTTGTTCCAATGTTTGAGAAAGAACGACCGCTTCGCATGGACTGATGAATGTGAAAGAGCATTCGGCGAACTCAAGCAGGCCCTCACCTCGCCGCCGATCCTCACTAAACCACAAGCTGACTCCCCTTTGTTGTTATATTTGTCAGCATCCGATACCGCCGTCAGCGCAGTCGTGGTGCGAGAGAGAGGTAACTCCCAACTGCCGATCTATTTTGTTAGTAGGGTGTTGCAAGGGACAGAGGTTCGCTATCAAAAGATTGAGAAGTTGACACTTACCATAGTGATAACCGCGCGAAAGCTCAGACACTACTTCCAGAGTTACGAAATGGTAATCCGAACAGACTACCCCATCAGACAGGTGTTGCAAAAGCCCGACCTTGCCGGTAGAATGATGAAGTGGTCCATCGAGTTGTCAGAGTTTGCAATCAAGTACGAACCGAGAGGAGCCATTAAGGCTCAAGTGCTGGCCGACTTCTTGGTCGAGTTGACCCCACCAGCCGAGGGGGATCCTTCTGGGGAAAGTGACTGGATTCTATTGGTCGACGGAGCTTCCAACCTAGGTGGCAACGGGGCCGGGATCGTCCTTGAGGGACCAGGAGGCATACTTTTGGAACAGTCGCTACGCTTTGAGTTTCGAGCTAGCAACAATCAGGCAGAGTATGAAGCTCTGTTGGCAGGGATGACCTTGGCAAAGGAGATGGGTGCGACAAGCCTGTCGGCCAGGAGTGACTCACAGCTTGTGACGGGGCAGGTGGCAAGAACCTTCCAAGCCAAAGATCCTCAATTGGCTCGGTACCTTGAAAGAGTAAGGGTCGTGTCGGCTGGCTTTACCAAATTTTCGCTAAATCATGTCCCCAGGGAGCAAAACTCACGAGCCGATCTCTTGTCAAAGCTTGCAAGCACAAAGAAGCCAGGGGCTACTCGGTCGGTCATCCAAGAGACGCTAACACAGCCGAGTATAAATGACGCGCAAGTGAACGTCCTTTTCATCCAGGAAGAGCTAAATTCGTGGATGGGACCGTACATTGCGTATCTGACCTAGGGGGAGCTACCGGAGGATAAAAGGGAGGCATCGTTGGTGCAAAGAGAGTCGGCCAGGTTCGTAGTCATCAACGAAAGACTATACCGAAGGGGCTTCAGCTCTCCCCTTTTGAGGTGCTTGACCATGTCACAAGCGCAGAGAGTGATGGATGAAGTGCATAGCGGAATGTGTGGAAGTCACATTGGAGGCCGAGCTTTAGTGTATAAAGTCGCCCGGGCGGGGTACTTTTGGCCGTCCTTGAGGAACGACTGCGTCAATTGGGTACGAAAGTGTGATGGATGCCAAAGACATGCAACCCTACACCATTCCCCGACTGAAAGACTACACTCAATCCTGTCTCCTTGGCCTTTCCACAAGTGGGGGATTGATATTCTCGGCCCATTCCCGATTGCGATAAGGCAACTGAAATTCTTGATAGTGGCGGTAGACTACTTCAGTAAATGGATCGAGGCGGAGCCTGTTGCAACCATCTCGGCGGAGAAGGTAAGAACTTTTCTTTGGAAGAATGTAGTGTGCAGGTATGGAGTCCCTCAAATGCTCGTTTCCGACAATGGGACACAGTTTGCAAGCACAAGAGTTCGTGATTTCTGCAAAGAGGTCGGCATCCAGATGGCATTCACTTCTGTTGAACACCCACAGTCTAACGGCCAGGCGGAGTCGACCAACAAGGTAATCCTTTCAGGTTTGAAGAAGCGTGTGCAAGAGTCAGGCGCTTCATGGGTGGAAGAACTTCCCCAAGTGCTATGGTCATACCACACGACTGTTCATTCAACGACTCAAGACACTCCTTTCAATCTGGTGTACAGAACCGACGTCATGATCCCAATCAAAATCGCAGAGCCTTCAGTGCGCGCTACGGCTTTTTCTGAAGAGGAATCCGACCAAGGAAGGCGAGTTGATTTAGACTTGATCGCAGAAACAAGAGAAAAAGCAAGAATAAATCAAGTAGCGGCCCAGAGAAGAGCCGCCTTCAAATACAACACAAAGGTGAATCCAAGAGACTTTATTGTAGGCGACCTAGTTTTGAGGCGTGCTCAGCTAACGCAAATGAGGAACAAGCTGTCTCCTAAATGGGTTGGGCCTTATAAAATTGATGATGTGGTCGGCAAAGGAGCTTACCGACTGAGGACCTTAGATGGAGGATTGATACCAAGGACGTGGAATGCCGCAAATTTGCGCTTTTACTATAGCTAGTTTCCTTATCCATTTGTATTAGGTGCACTCTTTTCCTAACACAGTATTTTGTCCCCGTAAAAATATGAGGGGTTTTTGCTGAGAAGGATTTTAATGAGGCACCGATCTTTCAATTCTAATAAATGTCATCTCACTGTTTTCTTTCATTGTCTCCTAACACATGTTATTTTAAAGGCACCAAAACTCGTGATTGTCGGCAAAAGTCCGACTGGGCGAGTATAAATAACTCGAAGACCAAAACTTGTGATTGTAAACTAAAGTCCGACTGGGCGAGTATAAATAACTCGAAGACCAAAACTCGTGATTGTCGGCTAAAGTCTGACTGGGCGAGTATAAATAACTCGAAGACCAAAACTTGTGATTGTCGGCTAAAGTCTGACTGGGCGAGTATAAATAACTCGAAGACCAAAACTCGTGATTGTCGGCTAAAGTCCGACTGGGCGAGTACAATCTTTCTACCCATTTTTCAATTTGGCGTTAGGACGATTATGGGGTCGCCTCTCTAACCTCGGAATTTACCAATCAATATATTCTTTGTACCGATCGGAATTTCACCGACTATATTTTTCCATTTGATTATTTTAACTTAGAAAATTTTCTGAATTGTGAAGGTTAGAATTTGACCGACTATATTTTTCCATTTGATTATTTTAACAGAAAATTTTCTGCATCGTGAAGGTCAGAATTTCACTGACTATATTTTACCATTTGATTATTTTAACTTGGAAAATTTTCTGAATTGGGAAGGTCAGAATTTGACCGACTATATTATACCATTTGATTATTGTAATAGAAAATTTTCTACATTGTGAAGGTCAGAATTTCACCGACTATATTTTTCCATTTGATTATTTTAACTTAGAAAATTTTCTGAATTGTGAAGGTCGGAACTTGATCGACTATATTTTTCCATTTGATCATTCTAACTTGGAAATATTTTCTGAATTGTGAAGGTCGGAATGTGACCGACTATATTATACCATTTGATTATTTTAATAGGAAATTTTCTGCATTGTGAAGGTTGGAATTTCACCGACTATATTTTTCCATTTGATTATTTTAACTTAGAAATTTTTCTGAATTGTGAAGGTCGGAACTTGACCGACTATATTTTTCCATTTGATCATTTTAACTTGGAAAATTTTCTGAATTGGGAAGGTCGGAATTTGACCGACTATATTATACCATTTGATTATTGTAACAGAAAATTTTCTACATTGTGAAGGTCGGAATTTCACCGACTATATTTTTCCATTTGATTATTTTAACTTGGAAAATTTTCTGAATTGGGAAGGTCGGAATTTGACCGACTATATTATACCATTTGATTATTTTAACAGAAAATTTTCTGCATTGTGAAGGTCGGAACTTGACCGACTATATTTTTCCATTTGATCATTTTAACTTGGAAAAATTTTCTGAATTGTGAAGGTCGGAATGTGACCGACTATATTATACCATTTGATTATTTTAACAGAAAATTTTCTGCATTGTGAAGGTCGGAACTTGACCGACTATATTTTTCCATTTGATCATTTTAACTTGGAAAAATTTTCTGAATTGTGAAGGTCGGAATGTGACCAACTATATTATACCATTTGATTATTTTAACAGGAAATTTTCTGCATTGGGAAGGTCAGAATTTCACCGACTATATTTTTCCATTTGATTATTTTAACTTAGAAAATTTTCTGAATTGTGAAGGTCGGAACTTGACCGACTATATTTTTCCATTTGATCATTTTAACTTGGAAATATTTTCTGAATTGTGAAGGCCGGAATGTGACCGACTATATTATACCATTTGATTATTTTAACTTAGAAAATTTTCTGCATTGTGAAGGTCAGAATTTGACCGACTATATTTTTCCTTTTGATTATTTTAATTTGGAAAAATTTTCCAAATTGGGAAGGTCGGAATTTGACCGACTATATTTCTCGTTCGATTATTTTAACAGAAAATTTTCCACAATGTGAAGGTCGGAATTTGACCAATTATATCCACCATTTGATTATTTTAAATTAGAAAATTTACGAGTCGAACCTATTCGAAAATCATGCATAAAACGCAACGAATCAATCAACTTATATCAAAAAGCAACTTATAGAAAATCGTAACAGATTCAACAAAGAAAGTCTACAATAGTCCTTGAAGCAAGTGAGAACAATGAAGAGTTAAAAGAAACATGCAACATCCAAAGACTCAATCATCCTCGGGGGGATCCACGAGTTCGCCATCCACGATCTCCTTGAAGTAGCCAATACCTTCAAGGTCAATATCAGCATGAAGAAGATTTACTTGACTCTTGGCAGCGTCGAAACCTTGCATAAACTTCTTCAATGCATCCATCTTTACCGCATGAAGGTCAGCCTGTAGCCTCTCAACCTCGGCCTTCACCAAGGTTAACTCTCCCTCGAAGACTTGAGCCGCATCCACGCTTTTGTCTCGGGCTAACTTGATCTCCTCAAGCTCCTTCTCGAAGTTGGATCTCTCGGAGGCCCAAGTTTTCCTCTCATTATCAAAGGCATGCCGACCTTCAAGAAGCTTATCTCGCTCGAAATTCACCCACTGAAGATCCGCCTTACCCTTCTTCACGGCCTCTTCGAGGGAATTGATCTTCTTTCCCTGCAGCTTGATCTCTCGAGCCATTCCGCGAATTTTATCTTCATTGATAAGAGACAAAGCGGAGAGACGATTAGTCAGGGACTCAACCCCCTTTGCAATCGAAAAGGGGCTCATTTTTTCTAAGTCCTCCTTATCGCCCTCAAGCAAATCGGTGTTGCGGATGTGAGACGAATGGTTAAACTTTTCGTCCTAGAAGGACAAAGTTTTCCCTTGGTCAGTACCATGGTCAAGGGGTTCCCAGTTGTCCCCAATGCACATACTCAGTGTCCGCTCAGCTGATTGGACCTCGACGTCTTTTTCAAGCTCCTCTCCCCCGACCTCAGTCTCCAGATTCACCAGGGTGACGGGGTTCTCGATCGCCCGGCGACGCTTGTGAGGACTCTTGGCAACGACACCCTTCTTGGGGGGAGCCCCGGCATCACTCGCCTTTTCACCGACCGTTGCTACCTCCACAACTTTGGAAGCTTCTTGTTGCTTCCATAATTTCCTCATCTCACGATTGCTCAAGCTCGCCATCTTTTCTGCATAAGAGTTGAACACACATGTTACCATTATAGGAATACGCAGAAGTCAAATAAAAATAATGTTAAAGATTATCGGCGAGCGACCGACTACCTATATAGATTCTCAATTCACGGGGCCTATTTTCTAAGTCTAGAAGCCTAGTGGTGTTGAAAATCGTTTGAAGCTCCTCAAGATTTTTAACGTCCTTTTGATCTTCTTCGGCGACCTTCTCGAATGATAGACCACCATAAGTTACCGTTCGCCGGTTCCAGTACAGAGGGAAACCGTCAAGCACATTTTCATTCCCAGGGGTACACCGAAGTCAGAAAAATGACTTTTTAAAGTCCTTATAGGACGATTGAAACAGTGTCAAAAGCCCTCGTCCATTTACTCCACCAACAGACACCCAACCAGTACGCTTGCTCACTCGAGATTCAAAAAAGTAGAAAAACTTATCTAAAGTCGGAATAATGCCTAGACCCGAGCACAAAATCTCGAACCCTCGGATAAACGTCCAACTATTTGGGTGAAGTTGTGTAGGGGCTACATTTAATGCCTGGAGTGTAACGACCCACCTTAGGTCATCACATCAATAACCA